AGTCTTCTAGCCATAATACACAAAGATTGAGCTGGCACACAAAACCAAGGATGATAGAATACAGTAAAGCACAACATAGAAAGACACGAAGATGTTACTCTGCTAGTTTTCCAGTCTCATAGTTGATCTATCACGTCACTATGCCAGTTAGTGTCATTCTTGTCACGTCTGAACTAGCAATCGGTAAGTTACAATTACTTTCTACTCATCCAAATGTTCTTTTTTTTTTTTTCCTTTTCTTTTAGTTATTTTTTATTTTATTTTCCCTTCATTCACATATTGAGATATAAGAAAAGGATTTGGGTTGAAAAATTTCCTGGAGCCCTGGGTTTCAACTACGACAGAATAGATCTGCTTAACAAAAAAAGTAGACTGGGTCAGTAATGTTTCAAAAATCAGACACGAGTTACTTGCCCAATCATGGTGCCTCCAGATTAAGAAGCAACAGATTCCAAGCCTGCAATTTCAGTTTTGTGGTTTATCAAAGATCTCTGATCTGGTTTAGCACAGTATTTCCAGCTGCAAATGTACTGGTCTCCACAACATAACAAAGGCATTAGTACAGTAGTTTAAAGTGTCCAAAGGACAAAAAAACTAGTAAAAGAGCTGAACAGCATGTTCTGTGAGGGGAGGCTGAGAACACTCAGATTATTCAGTATGGCAAAGAGGAGGCCAAGAAGTGACATCAGCTGCAGCTCCCTGAGAAGGGCAGGCAAAAACAGTTTCATGGCCCTGCTCCCCTGCAGTGACAGGATACACTGGAACATCACAAGTATGCGCCAGGGGAAGCTCAGACTGGTTATTTGGAAAAACATTTTTACATCAAGAGAGCCATGAAAGCCATCAAGAAATGGAACAAGTGTCCTAGAGAGGTGCTGACAGTGCTCAAGAGGCATTTGGATAATGCCCTCAGTAATATGCTGTAATTTTTATTTAGTTCTGAAGTAGTCAGGTAGTTGGACTAGATGACCTTCGAAGATCCCAACTTACATATACCTATTCAATTCAATTCAATTCTATTCTATTCTATTCTATTCTATTCTATTCTATTCTATTCTAT